GATTCCCTCATCTCCTCTTCCTAATTGGATCTAAACGAAAAGACTTGGATGTTTGTCGCATTCAATTATCCACATCAGTGCTGCTCATCCTTCTGTGGTTGTGAGATGAGTAAATGTTATTCCATGATCCTCCAGGGACAATCCAAACATAAAGGGCTCTAGGCTCCCATTGCAACCAATTTTCTCTCCAGCAGAAAGGTAGACCCAGAGGGGTTTCTGATGCAACAGCTCTCCCTGGAGCTTCCATACCCAGGCGATGACAACTATCTCTGCACAGACAGAGGCAGCACTGTTTAAGCCCAGGATGCTGGAATCCAGGGAGGTTTTATCTGAGACTGTCTTGGAATGAGGGGGGTTGACATGCTCATGGGGTGTTGAGAAAGGTCCCTCACTCCACACACAGACCACAGTAAGTGGAGGAAAGACCTTGGAACCCAGCCTTATGGAGATCTTGGGCGTCTAGGCATGACTGAGAGACTAGACATTCATGGCAGGATGAATCCAAAGAACTGCTCATGTTGTTTCCCACAAACGTGCTGAGTTGAGTCTGAGTTGTGCTTATTCTTTCCCTGTCTGTCTTCATCGCTGTGAACCCAAGAAGGCCAGGCCTCTAGACAGCAGGAAGTCATCTATGTTGATGTTCAATCCATCTTGAAGGTCAACCCATGCTGACCTTCCATAAAAGCTGTTGGAAGCAGTCAGGCATGGGCACGTGACCTTGGTCATGAGGCTGGTACCAGAACAAACTTTCTAGCATGGGTTGGGGGCACCTTCAGCTCACCTTCTGAGGACTGGCCATCCACAACTGTGATCCCCTGGGGGAGTTCTCAGTTCTGGCCTCCTGGGCAGAAGAGCTGAGCATTAACTCCAGGAAAGAAGCGACATCCAGTGTTGAGAGATCTTATGATTTGGAATCAGACAGATAGGAATTCAAATCCTAGTCTGCCCTCTTAGTAGCTGTGTGACTTTAGGTAAGTCACATCCACTCTCTCAGCCAATTTGTCATTAAAATTAGTTCCAACCAAAATAGTGTTTCCCTTGCAGAATATATTCATTCAACAACTGTTTATTGAGTGAGCTCTGCTGTGGATCCTTAAGCTGTGCTAATGGATTGTGAGGCTTAAA